TTTAGAATTTGGAATCATTTAGAATATGTTGACTTAAAATTTGAAATATCTGATTCCGACGTATCTGCACAGTGCACATTTTAATTGTTTTTGTGAAATTTAAAAGATATTCAATTTTAAAATAAACCATTTTTTAAAAACAAAGTAACAACTCTTTCCTCCATTATAAAGTCGGCATGGCTTGGCGCTTAAAACTTGTTCAGAATGTCTTCATGCTTGATTAATTTTAATCTACTAAAAACTATTACTATCATGAAATTAGTCGACTTTACACAAATGCAGACTAATCAATAGGGAATGTATTTTTTTTTTTTGGAAGGGAAGGGGTCAAGGCAACTGGAACTTGTACTTGTAGAGGCAGATCCCCCACCCTTTGTATGGAAATTGCCGCTGCAGACCCCCCCCAGCTTTTGAATTGTTAACTAGGGTTAAAATTAAGTACTAAGGTTCTCTAAACCCTGAGACGTACTACAATTTTAAAAACTGAATATTTTTAAAACAAATCACTATTTTGTGTTTAAAATTTACCTCTCAAAAAAAAAAAACCTATATTTTGATTACTCTTAATTCAGCGTTACATTATTTGTAAACTAAGCATTTTTACTTTTTATACTTTCTAGCTTTCAAAAATACATTATCTATGTGAAGACAGCATGTGTTAGTTATAGATATACTAGTATACTGTCAATTTATTAGTAAATAATGGAAAAATACATCAGAAATGAAAACTTTACATATATGTACATATAATAGGCTTTCAGAAAAACATACATAAATGATTCTCTAATCACAGCAATACCTTAAAGTTAAAGGTTGTTAACTGGAATATAGATTTAGATTCTAAATTAAGATTTTTTTTTGTAAAGATATTAATACCTTATTTAATAGATAATACCTCATATTTTCTTTAGTATTCCTCAAGTTTATCCTTATATCAACAAAAGATACAATAGAACCCCATATTGGATTTGATTTGATCTGTTTTTACAAGAAATTGATAAATGATACATTTACACATTTGTGTTGTTTTTGACATAAATCCTTTTTTGCACTGTAGTAATTTCAAACAGTTGGTAGATAGTGTGTATAATCAAAATCATTCTTTTTATGTTTTATTTTTATTTACATATAATAAAATATTTAGATTTTTTAAGAAATGCATGATCAAAGTACTAAGTGGTTTAAATTCATTGTAAAAAAACTTTTAATTTTGATAAAACAGAAAGAGCAGCAAAAAAACATGTGTGAGACATCTCTACTGTTAATAGTTTCAAACAAAATTTTGGAATCAAAATGTTCTAAAAATTTAGTTTTGTTTTAACAGACACTGATATCCAAGATTAAAATTTACAATTATCATATTTTCTCAAGTTAATGACTAAAGTTTATTTTTGACTAGTAAAAGTTTAACAATTCCCACATTTCTCTGATGGCATAAGGTAGAGCCAAATATATACAAAATTGGATTATGTTTAATAAGTCTGATTGTAAATAGTTCCATTTATGTTATTTGTAACTGCAAAACCAGTCTACTTCAGAAGGTTTTCAATCCGAAGGTAAAACTAGAAGGTAAAACTATTTCAACTAACATTAAATATAAGCTAGTCTGATGTTTAGAGGGTTCCACTGTGATAGAATATTTTCAAAAAAAAAGATTTATAAAATATAAAATAAAAATATCATGGTACAAATACATATACAAAAACTTTGTATCAGCCACTGTCTTAAATCATTTTATGTTGATTGATCAATTATTATGAATACTGCAAAAAACAACTATATGAATTTAAAAGCATAAGACTTTTTGATGACAGCCTTTAAAAATACTTTGACTAGAAAATGTTAATAAAGTCTGTAATCGTATTCCAGATGATGGGGGGGGGGGAAACAAAGCTCATAATAGCATTTCATTTCTTCATTAATTAAAATTTCATGATATTCACTTAAATATGTTTAAAAACCTTCTTTCGGTTCTTAATCTTTATTGTTGAGAGGACTGCTTGGTTTTCTTTGAATTCAAAGTGTTGATGATTTGCCTGCAGAATAAAATCCATTAATACACATTGTTCATAAAAAGGAATGTTTTAGACAAGGTTGGGATGTCTCAATTAGAATGGAACTCTTCAAACCTGTATCTGAGTAACGTCTTGATGATATGGTCTTGAAAAGTGATGGTTCAATTGTTGTCTGCGTAACATAAATTTTCCACTTTCAGCTATAGAAATAAAAAGCAATATCTAATTCATTCTTTTTGGTTAGACAAAGAGTTAAAGGGTATTGTTGTGAATCCGATATTCCATTCTTGATATTGTATATAGGTGTAGTCTACAGGTTTTATTGTATTAATGATTTTTTCCTGAAGGTTTTGTTGCTGCTTATATTCTCTGTGGTTTTAGATCTAAGTTCTGCCATAGACATGGAGTTATACCGTCCTTTCACCTAGATTAATAGACTTATAAACCAAAGACATATAGCAACACTGTCCTTTCAACTAAAAATATAAATATATAAACCAAAGACATGGAGTTTTAACGTCCTTTCACCTAAACATATAAACTTAAAAACAAAGACATGAAGTTATAGCGTCATTTTACTAACTTTAGCTTGTCTGTTTGTTTGCCTTCAATAAACCTCAAAACGGCTGAACCAATCAGACCAAAATTTTGTGTGGGACATCATGTGACCCCAGGAAATGTTTATAAATGATACAAGTTTTAAAAACTGTGTATAAAAGTTTTTTGTTATTTTTGTAAAATTTTAAAATACTTGAAAATCCGCGAATTTCTTTTTTAAAATCCGCGATATTTTTTTCTTCTTAGTTTTGAAATGTACACAAAGAGAACATGTTCACAATTTTAATAAAAGATGAGCGCAAAGCGCCCTAAAAAACCACAGACATGGAGTTATACCATCCTTTTACCTAGAAATATAAACTTATATAAACCACAGACATGGAGTTATACCATCCTTTCACCTTGAAATATAAACTTATGAACCAAAGACATTGATTTATACCATCCTTTCACCTTGAAATATAAACTTATATAAACCACAGACATGGAGTTATACCATCCTTTCACCTTGAAATATAAACTTATGAACCAAAGACATTGATTTATACCATCCTTTACCTAATAATATAAACTTATAAACCAAAGACATTGAGTTATACCGTCCTTTCACCTAAAAATATAAACTTATAAACCAAAGACATGGAGTTGAACGTGCTCTTTTACATAGAAATATCACCTTATAAACCAAAGACATGGAGTTATACAATCCTTTCACCTAATAATATAAACTTATAAACCAAAGACATTGAGTTGTACTGTACTTTCATCTAGAAATATAGACTTATAAACCAAAGACATGGAGTTATACTAGGTTTAGTTGCTTGCATCTGATGATTATTTTAGTTAACATGTAGTTAAGAACTAAACCTTAGAAAGTATATTATAGGTTTAGTTAGTAAGTTTGCATCTACATGCTTAGTCTAGTTAACATGTAGTTAAGAACTAAACCTTAGAAAGTATATTATAGGTTAAGTTAGCAAGCTTGCATCTTCATGCTTAGTTTAATTAACATGCAGTAAAGAACTGAACCTTAGAAAGTATATTATAGGTTCAGTTAGCAAGCTTGCATCTACATGCTTAGTTTAGTTAACATGCAGTTAAGAACTGAACCTTAGAAAGTATATTATAGGTTTAGTTAGCAAGCTTGCATCTACATGCTTAGTTTAATTAACATGCAGATAAGAACTAAACCTTAGAAAGTATATTATAGGTTTAGTTAGCAAGCTTGCATCTACATGCTTAGTTTAGTTAACATGTAGTTAAGAACTGAACCTTAGAAAGTATATTATAGGTTTAGTTAGTAAGCTTGCAACTACATGCTTAGTTTAATTAACATGCAGTTAAGAACTAAACCTTAGAAAGTACAATATAGGTTTAGTTAGTAAGCTTGCATCTACATGCTTAGTTTAATTAACATGCAGATAAGAACTAAACCTTAGAAAGTATATTACAGGTTTAGTTAGTAAGCTTGCATCTACATGCTTAGTCTAGTTAACATGCAGTTAAGAACTAAACCTTAGAAAGTATATTATAGGTTTAGTTAGCATGCTTGCATCTTCATGCTTAGTCTAGTTAACATGCAGTTAAGAACTAAACCTTAAAAAGTACAATATAGGTTTAGTTAGCAAGCTTGCATCTACATGCTTAGTTTAATTAACATGCAGATAAGAACTAAACCTTAGAAAGTATATTATAGGTTTAGTTAGCAAGCTTGCATCTACATGCTTAGTTTAATTAACATGCAGATAAGAACTAAACCTTAGAAAGTATATTATAGGTTTAGTTAGCAAGCTTGCATCTACATGCTTAGTTTAATTAACATGCAGATAAGAACTAAACCTTAGAAAGCAGATTAGGTTTAGGTAAATGTTTTTGCTGCAGGTTGACCCTTCCTTGGTTCCAGCTGACTATCCAACTCTAGATTACAAAATAATTCCAATTTAAGAAAGGAATTTTTCAGCTTATATACCAAGGGGGTGTGGTATACAAGATATTCATAATATGTACTCACTACTCATTGTCAAGCATTTTAAAATTAATGGAATTGACTTCTAAGAAAATTCAGATTATAACTAAATAGTTGATTAAATTTCAATATTTCTACTTCCTATATCTCTTTATCCTACATCGTAAACTTTTGATATTTTTTTACTTAAATTCTTCTTGATGTAATGAAGTTTAAAATGTCAAATGTTTACACAATCAATTTGCAAAGACAGTGATTGGAACAATCGAACTGTAGTCGAGTGTCCAGCAATATTCATCAATCACCTTCTTCCTTGACTCCTCTCCTTGTTGCTCCTTCAAGGAGCTGATGCCTAGGTGGGGTTGAGTGTACCCCCTAGACTCCTGATACTCCTTGTACTCCTGGTACTCCTTAAACTCCAGGAGAGAGGAAGGAGAAGGGGATAGATCTTGAGAGGTGTAGTTGGCAGCAACCATACCATTAACATCATCCTGGGAAACTGTTCATTCAAATTTTGCACCCCAAATATATAAATTAGAAATAGTTCCTGTTTTGTGGATTATAATGTATAAATGTATGTTTTTCTGTATTTTGGATTAGGTCAATTCTACAGCATTGAATTTTTAATAAAACAATCTAAAAAGAATATTTTATATTCAAGACGTGCACACAATTCCAACAGAGAAACCTAACCCAGATAACAAACAGACACAAATTTTTTTGAATAAGAAAAGTGTGATTCAGTTGCGTTATTCATGTGCTTCCTTAAAAGTGTTTCCTCTAAAGAGTGGTCTAAATAATGTGTTCTAAATAGTGTGTTCTTAATAGTGTGTTCTTAATAGTGTGTTCTTAATAGTGTGTTCTTAAAAGTGTGTTCTTAAAAGTGTGTTCTCAATAGTGCGTTCTTAAAAATGTGTTCTCAATAGTGTGTTCTCAATAGTTGATCTCAATAGTGTGTTCTCAATAGTGTGTTCTTAACAGTGTGTTCTCAATAGTGTGTTCTTAATAGTGTGTCTTAAATAGTTTGCTCTTAATAGTGTGTTCTTAATAGTTGGTTCTCAATTCTGTGTTCTCAAAAGTGTGTTCTCAATAGTTTGCTCTCAATAGTTGATCTTAGTAGTGTGTTCTCAATATTGTGTTCTCAAAAGTATGCTCTTAATAGTGTGTTCTCAAAAGTGTGTTCTCAATAGAGTGTTTTTATAGTGTGTTCTCAATGGTGTGTTTTGACACTGTGCTCACAAAAGTGTGTTCTGAATAGTGTGTTCTCAATAGTGCGTTCTCAATTGTGTGTTCTCAATAGTGAGTTCTCAATAGTGTGTTCTCAATAGTGTGTTTTTATTAGTGTGTTCTCAATAAAGTGTTTTCAATATTTTGTTCTCAATAGTGCGTGTTTTAATAGAGTGTTCTCAAAAGTGTGTTCTCAATAGTGTGTTCTCAATAGTGTGTTCTCAATAGTATGTTCTCAATAGTGTGTCTTAAATAGTTTGCTCTTAATAGTGTGTTCTTAATAGTGTGTTCTCAATAGTTTGCTCTTAATATTGTGTTCTCAATAGTGTGTTCTTTATAGTGTGTTCTCAATAGTGTGTTCTTAATAGTTTGTTCTCAAAAGTATGCTCTCAATAGTGTTTTCTCTTAGTGTGTTCTCAATAGTTGTTTTTAATACTGTGTTCTCGATAGTTGTTCTTAATACTGTGTTCTCTATAGTGTGTTCTCGAAAGTGTGTTCTCAATAGTGTGTTCTCAATCATGTGTTCTCAACAGATAGTGTGTTCTCGATAATGTTTTCTCAGTTATTTGTTCTCAAAAGTGTGTCCTTAAAAGTGTATTCTCAAAAGTGTGTTCTCAATAGTGTGTTCTTAAAAGTGTGTTTTCAAAAGTGTGTTCTCAATAATTTTTTCTCAAAAGTGTGGTCTTAATAGTGTGTTCTTAATAGTGTGTTCTCAATAGTGTGTTCCAAATAGTGTGTTCTCAAAAGTATGTTTTATATAATGTGTTCTCAATAGTATGTTCTTAAAAGTGCAATAGTGTTTCATCAAAAGTGTGTTCTAAATGGTGCGTTTTCAAAGTATGTTCTCAACAGTGTGTTCTCAATAGTGTGTTCTCAATAGTGTGTTTTTATTAGTGTGTTCTCTATAAAGTTTGCTCAATATTTTATTCTCAATAGTGCGTGTTTTAATAGTGTGTTCTCAAAAGTGTTTTATCAATAGAGTGTTTTTAATAGTGTTTTAACAGTGTGTTCACACAAGTGTGTTCTCAATAGTTCTCAATAGTACATGTTTTAATAATGTGTCCTCAAAGGTGTGTTCTCAAAAGTGTGTTCTCAATATTGTGCTCTCAATAGGGTGTTTTTAAGTGTGTTCTTAATAGTTTCTTCTTAATGGCATGTTCTCTATAGTGTGTGTTTTAATAGTGTGTACTCAATAGTTTGTTCTCACTAAAGTGTTCTCAATAGTTTTTTTCTCACTAGTGTGTTCTTAATAGTGTGTTCTCAATTATGTGTTCTCAGAAGTTTTTTTTTCTCAATTGAGTGTTTTTAAGAGCAAAGCTGTGTTTCCTGTGCTATTATTTTGTGTGTTTCAGAAATTAAACAATTAAAATTTCTTACAAAAGGAATAAAAATTCTGAAAAATATGGTTATTAAAATTTTTAACAAAAGTTTCGAGAAATGAAATAAGAAAAGAAATGAAATCATGGTATAATAGTTTAGATAAATAAACCAGTTCCTTTGAGACAGCCAGGAGGCCGGGCAGGCTCTGAAATCATGTTATAATAGTTTAGATAAATAAACCAGGCTCTGAAAACCACAATAATGTGATGAAACTTCTACTTTTTATAACTGCACAGTTATATATTTAATATCGAAACTTTTGTATAATTTATTTTAATTGTTTTCTTCAAAAACTGTCGTAGTATAAAGGATATTTATTTCAAAATGGAATTTAGTAGATTATACATCGAAACTTTAAGAAAATGAAATTATTCAAGAATATCGTTATTTTTCTTTCCCAAGGAGATATAGATAGATTCTAATGTACTTAAGTTTAAAAAAAGTACAAGTAAGTTATTGAAGTAAAAAGACCAAGGCGTTGCAACACTTAAAAGTCGACCCAAGCTTGAAAATTTATACAATTTTTCATACAGTGATAACCAAAAAAAGGAAGACAACTTTTACATACAAGTTATGAATTCAAATAGTTCAATGAACTTGATACAATTGTACACAGCAACAAACTAAAACATTGTTATAAAATCGTCTTCCAGTTTCAGAGTTTTCTGGTTATCACTGTAGCTGACTACATGGAGAGGGTATATATATTTCACCTTGCTTGGATTGAGTGATGGATAAGATGAATGGTCTGTTAGTCTGCTTGATCTATACTTCTCATAATGCCGGGTATGGGTCATCTCTCTACAAGTTTTCAAAATTAAATGTAAATAAAAACTTCCCTCAAACTCTAATGTTCTGGTCCTTATAACTTTGCAACCAGATGGAGTAAACCTTTGATATTGACTTTTTGGTTCAATGTTTGAAATATTTATGAAAGATATAAGGTTTGGAATTTAAGTTTTATCCTCAAGTGTTTTATCGTTCATGTTAAAATCAATCTAAAGAACATTTTTTATCATAAAAATAATATTTCTAACTAACAAATTATGTTATCACTTATTAAGTTATTTTAGTCCACTAAATTTCGGAGACTTCTGTATTTTTGCAAAATTTTCATGAACCCTTTAAAGGCTGGGGGGTTTGAATCTATGTATCCCCCCTCACTCTAGAGAATAGGTATAGGGTTAAAATTCATGTTCACAGTCCAAGTTTTCAAGGCCAGCTCATTGAAAAAAAAATTAGATCAATAACTTTTATAGTTTGGGTCCCAAATGCTAGGAAGGGTTACAAAAATGCCGAAAAATGTTTTAAAGACAAATATCAAAGTTTGACACATGTTTCTACATCCATTTTTCAAGGGCTTTTCAAAAATATAGTTTTTAGATCCGTAGCTTTAACCACAAAAATAGTTATGGGCTATTTTAGATTTTTTAAACACAGGCTGGACATTTTACCGCCCTGTACCCAACCCTATCTATCTATTTAATGTCAAATAACTTCGAGGTGATAGTGTCAATTATTTTCTTCCACTTTTGATTGGTTATCACCGTGGAGAATATAAATAAAATAATGATTTCAGTTCATAATTAGTATATTTAAATTAAAATCTTTATTATTATCATTTCCAAGATTAAGAAATTTTCTAAAAGAATTTTCTGGAAAAAAATAACGAAGAGAATTGTAAGCTTAATATTTTAACATTTTAAATCTAAATATAACATTTTTAAGATTTGTTTTTTGCTTAACAAAATAGAATTTTTTTTTTATGTTTTTGTAACTTAACATTACATGTGAAATTAAGGTAATTCTCACATCTATATACTAAACATTAAAAACATGTTTTAAACCATTCCAACTCCTCTTTTTCAAGAGCTATTGAGAAGAACAAGAAACAAGGAATTTCTAATTTTTAACCAATTAAATTTGATTTCACGGAATAATAATATTAATAATAATAAAAGTTACTAAAATTAAAATAATGATTAAAAAGATAATAATAATTATTAGTAATAAAAAGTGATAATAAACTTAAGCATTGGAATTTTTTTTCGGCAAGATATAGTTAGTCTTCAACGCTTGATCCTGATATACAATGTGGGCCCTTTTATATTTAATTTAAATAAATGCTTGATCCGGCATTAATGTTATCACGGGATATCAAAGAGAAATCAATTAATCTGTAGGCTGGAGAAGGGTAGACTGGAGCCCGGCTGGAGCAGTATAGGCTGGAGCCCGGCTTAAGCAGTGTAGACTGGAGCAGTGTAGGCTGGAGCAATGTAGACTGGAGTCCGGCTGGAGCACTTTCAAAAGGTTTCCGCTACAATATGTTTCTCCACAAAACGTTTCTTACAAAAACATTTCCATAACAAAACTTTTCTACCACAAAACGTTTAATACACAAAATGTTTCCTTCACAAAATATGAACAACTCAAAATGTATCAACGAACTATGTAAATGATTGTTTCTTAAGCTTAATATTATCTTCTCCATGGTTTTGGTCACTTTTTAGGGATTTATCGTTTACATATTATGTTCAATCAAACTTTCTCATTTCAGAGTATTTTAAAATTGTTAATTTCATATTAACATTTTTATCTTTTATAATTTTTTAACAAATAAATATAGGTTGGAAACATGAAAGTAAACATTTTGTAGCAAGAGAGGATACATTTTGTGAAGAAAACGTTTAGTGGCCAGGAGTCATTTTTTGAGGAAACGTTTTGTGACAGGAAACATGTTATGTCAGAAAACGTTTTGTAACAGAAACGTTTTGTGACAGAAAACATTTTGTGACAGGAAGCCTTTTGTGTCAAGAAACATTATGTGTCAGGAAAAATCATGTTACAGGAAACATTTTGTGTCAGGAAACATTTTGTGTCAGGAAACGTTTTTGACAGAAACGTTTTGTATGAGTGCTCCGTAGGTCTGCAGACATTCAGCTAGGGGGGGGGGGGAAGGTGGATTATTTTGCGTCTAGGGCAAAAAAAATGTTGCCCACCCCTAAAAATTTTAGGGGGGGGGGACAAGAAAAATGTGCATCATACTCAACCATGAAAAAACTACCTTTCTAGTTCAGGATATTTTTGGGGACAATTCTATATTTAGGGGCATTCATGCAGTTTGGAACAAAGGAATTGAGTTTTTGCCACAAACATATATCTTTTAATTCCTAAATCTTTACAACCTGAATGTGTAACCCTTTAATATTTCAAACTTACACTACTTTATCTTCCATAATTTATATTTTGCAATATCAAAGGTCTACGATATCGACTTGTAAAGATACAGAGATTAGAAGATCAGAGTTTGTGGCAAAAACTCAATTTCTTCGCGTGGAAAAAATTTGAACTTTATTGCAGTTTTTTCAGTTTGGTCAATTTTGTGTATGGGAAATCTTAAATCTTATTTTGGGGTCAAATTTTTATTTAAGGGTATTTTTATAAAGGGACGTTGTTTTAAACTAAGGGTAATTTATTTGTTTAGGGCAAAACTGAGTTGAGTTGAATTTGAGTTTGCTTAAAGCATGTAGATTTTAAAAAAAGTTACTGTGGGGGCATATTTTTTCATCTTTTGAGGAAATTAGCTATTTTTGGATTTAAATGGACTTCTTGCCCACTCCCTCTCCCCCCCCCCTTCAAGGGGTAGGCATGCTTTCTTCAGGGGGCTTGCCCCCCCCATAATCAGGCTAGGAAGGAACCTGGCCCCCATGGCCCCCCTTATTTGCACGCCTGAATAAGATGGAGATCAATGCTTGACCTTTGAACACAGTTTTGGAAATAAATCAGTTAGAAATTACAAACTAATGTATTGGACATTTTATAAAAAATAAAGGAATGAAGACGAAAATCATTCCAATTATAATATTGATAATAATAATACCTCAGATCTTGCATGTGAAATGATAGCAGAAGGGACCGGAGTGGGGAAAAATCACAGTGATCCTAAAGAAAGGAATTAGGTCTCTGCCACAAACTCTGATATTTAAATCCCTTTCGTTGCAACCCAATGTCGTAGGCCTAAGATAGTTTAAACTATGTATTCTGAGGCCAAATTTACAGAACTTGAGCCGTGTCTCAAATTTGAGATGCGGCTGTAAAATGGTTGGTTCCACTTGAAATTGTATTCAGTGTTTCGAGATTTGAGCCGGCGGTCAACTGGAACCGGTTTTTAGCGGTTCAGCGACGCGGTTTAAATGCTTAAAATTCGGCCTGTGTTAGATCAATTCATATAAGTTTAAAAAGTCAAAGTTTTACATCATCAGATTAGAAAATTTGAGTTTGTGTCAAAGACATAATGCCATCAAGAAATAAAAAAATGTGAATTCACATTATTAAAAGATTACCAAAATATTCTTTGCGTAAAAGGTAAATCAAATATTTATTTCTGTAAACATATTTTATATTTCTCCATGCATATCAACACTATCGATAATTTCAAGTTACCCTCAAAGAATTCAAAAATAATAAAGTGTTAAATTCTAACAATTTCTTTCATTGTCTGTCTCTTAAAAATTTCTTCAGTCACTCTTATAGAGAAACCTTAAAGCAAGGATACCTTCATCATTCTTGGTAAAAACAAGATTTTCTATTTTGTTATTTTGAAACTATAATGAAATATTTAAATAAGATAATCTTTTTACCAAGTTTTCTATCATAAACGATGATAAAATGTAAAAATAAAATATATTTTTTACCGTTTTTTTATTATAATTTAAAACTATGATCAAATATTCAAATAAGATAATCTTTTTACCAAGGTTTCTATCATAAACGATGATAAAATGTAAAAATAAAATATATTTTTACCGTTTTTTATTATAATTTGAAACTATGATCAATTATAAAAATAAAATATATTTATACCAGGTTTTCCATATTATTAAACGATGACCGAATTTTTACCGGGTTTTCTATATTAACAGTTCCCCAAGAGTATTCCCTTCCTCGTGTTCTGCCTCCATTCTCTTTATCATCATATTCGTTATAATTTCTAATTTGTGGATTGGAAGCCGCATACTGTGGAATTTATGAAGACAAAATTTAGTTAGTCTTATGTGTAATTAATGTTTTATAATGCAAATGGTTTGATACCTAGCTTATCAGTAGCTTGTTTAAATGTCGTCTTGTTTTTCCAAAGTTTTATAGGTTTTACTGTATGTTTAATTTTAATTATTTCTGTTATGAATATGGAAGACGACATATGTTCCTAGTTCTAGTAGGGTATTGGAACCCACGACGGCAAACGGTAATCTGTCTCGCATCCACATTGTCTTCTGAACACATGTTACAATAGAGATAGACAAGGTCGCCTATTGTCATTTTGTTCTTAATCATTTGTGAACGACCCATTTCGTTTTTATTTTAAATCGTTAAAAAATTGACTTCGTTCCTTTTCAAAATTATCATTTATTTTTCATCTATTTCTTTCGTTTGTTCTAAAAGATCATCTGTTCAGTAAAAACACTAGGGATTTTTCAAAATCTTTGGGAGAATTTTCCAATGATCCAAGGCGTTCGACCATGATTCCCATTGGTACCCCATAAACCTTGACATAGTTACAACTAGGGTCTAGGGGGATAATATTAGTAATTTATATCTGAAAAAAGGATAGCCAATGTTCCTTCTTATCTCTGCTGGATAAACCCGTAACTAACATGTTTAGATTTTTAGATTGCACAGAAGGATTTCTCCATCACATTTTCTCAGTTAAAGGTTTGAATAATAAAGTTGAGAAACAGGTATGGGATTTAATTATGAACTTGAAATTATGTCAAATTAATATAAAATTTATTCTATAATATAAATCTATTCATGAGCAATTTTTGTAATAAAAAAATGTTACTTGTCTTGTTTAGAGTTTTTGCCGAAGTATAACAATAGAAAATTTATCTAATTTAAAATTTACATCTGTTATTTTTTACTTCAGCCCAATTAGGTATTTGTGCTAAAAACTAATTTCCGCAGATTTAATCTTGGAAGTTGGAAAACTTGTCAACTAATGTGGGAAAATTTTGTGTTCCTTGTTATATTTGACACTTTTGACGTCATTTATAATTGGTCCATTTCTCTGTTGCCACCTAGTGTACTTGATAATCTATTTCATCTAGACTTACCTCTGTTAGTTCAGATGCTGGAAAATCATAGGTTGCAATCTTCAATTCTTTCAGCTGTTTCAAAACCTTTCAAACATATATGTATAAATGTATATGTAGCAAATATCGTAGCAATCCCAATATTTGTTAACCTAAGCATACCTACATAAACATGATTAAAACATGCATTGTGTCTAGATTAACTACGTTTATATTTATCCTCGCTGATCTTATAAATATGTACAATAAACCTGTTTTAAAACACAGGTTGAGGATACTCCCCTTTAATTTGGGATCGATAGTGTTAAAAGTTTCCGATTGATTTTAATAGCGGACGAGATTGCGTCAGTGGTAGTGGCCTTGATAGATCACGAGATTGTATCTTTGTGATTCCCTGTTTGAAAAACGATCGTTTTTATAAAACTCGTCGTTTCGTTAATGATAATTAACAACGACCCTTCGTTAATGATTGTTAACAACAAACCTCCGTTAACGACCGTTAAGGACAACCCTTTCTTAACAATCGTTAAAGACAACATTCAATAAAGTAATTTTTTCCCAAAACGATCATTTTTCCCAAAACGACCGTTTTTTAAAGTTCGTCGTTTCGTTAACGATTGTTAACAATAACCTTTAATAAACGATAGTTAACGACGACCCTTCATTAACAATCGTTTACATAATTGTAATAAAAACGATCGTTTTCTAAAAGCTCAAAACGAGTGGGTCGTTTTTTAAGACAATCGTTTTTTTTCGAAAACGTAACGATCGTTTCTAAAAACGATTGAAAACGAAACAATAAATGATTGTTTAAAGATTGTTTTCAATAACGATTTACAACCCTAGACAGGCACACATGAATTAATTTTATTAGTTACAAATAAAACTTTTTGCTTTGAAACAACATCAAATATATTGCTCAAATGTCGTGTTCAGTATCCACACTTTTCTGGTTCTCACTGTACCAAAGAGGATTGAGAATCAAATATTTATAAGCTGTGAAAGGTCTATTGGGAATATGGTCAGTAAATATGCAAAATGCAATTTTGCTGAAGGGTTCCAATATTTCAGTATTTTGCTTAAAGAGACTATATACTAGTTTCAAGTAACTCTCTTAAAGGGACTACCACTAGTTTCAAGTAACCCTCTTAAAGGGACTACAGACTAGTTTCAAGTAACTCTCTTTATGGGACTACATACTAGTTTCAAGTAACTCTCTTTATGGGACTACAGACTAGTTTCAAGTAACTCTCTTTATGGGACTACATACTAGTTTCAAGTAACTCTCTTTATGGGACTACAGACTAGTTTCAAGTAACTCTCTTTATGGGACTACATACTAGTTTCAAGTAACTCTCTTTATGGGACTACAGACTAGTTTCAAGTAACTCTCATAAAGGGACTACCACTAGTTTCAAGTAACCCTCTTAAAGGGACTACAGACTAGTTTCAATAAACCCTCTTAAAGAGACTACAAACTAGATTCAAGAAACCATCTTATAGGGACTACCTTCAGTTTCAAGAAACCCTTCTTAAAGAGACTACCACTAGTTTCAAGTAACCCTCTTAAAGGGAATACCACTAGTTTCAAGTAACCCTCTTAAAGGGACTACACCCTAGTTTCAAGTAACCATCTTAGAGGGACTACCACTAGTTTCAAGTAACCCTCTTAAAGGGAATACCGCTAGTTTCAAGTAACCCTCTTAAAGGGACTACAAACTAGATTCAAGAAACTCTCTTAAAGGGACTACAGACTATTTTCAATTAACTCTCTTAAAGGGACTATAGACCAGTTTCAAGTAACCATCTTAAAGGGACTACAGACAAGTTTCAAGTAACCGTATTACAGGGACTACCACTAGTGTCAAGTAACCATCTTAAAGGGATTACCACTAGCTTCAATTAACCCTCTTAAAGGGACTACAGACTAGTTTCAAGTAACCCTCTTAAAGGGACTACAGACTAGTTTCAAGTAAACATATTAAAAGGTCTACAGAGTAGTTTCAAGTAACCATATTAAAGGGACTACAGACTAGTTTCAAGTAACCACCTTGAAGGGACTAAAGACTAGTTTCAAGTAACCCTCTTAAAGGGAAAACAGACTAGATCCAAATATCCCTCTTAAAGGGGCGTCAGACAATTGTTTCAAGTAACCCTCTTAAAGGGACTACACCCTAGTTTCAAGTAACCCTCTTAAAGGGACTACAGACTGATCCAAATAACCCTCTTAAAGGGACTACTGACTTGTTTCAAGTAACCCTCTTAAAGGGACTACACCCTAGTTTCAAGTAACCATCTTAAAGGGACTACAGACTAGTTTCAAGTAACCATCTTAAAGGGACTACAGAATAGTTTCAAGAACCCTCTTAAAGGGACTACATACTAGATTCAAATAACCATCTTAAAGGGACCACAGACTAGTTTAAAGTGACCATATTAAAGGGACTACAGACTAGTTTCAAGTAACCGCATTAAAGGGACTACAGACTAGTTTCAAGTAACCGTATTAAAGGGACTACAGCTTAGTTTCAAGTAACCGTATTAAAGGGACTACCACTAGTTTCAAGTAACAGTATTATAGGGACTACAGACTAGTTTCAAGTAACCGTCTTGCTTAGCGTTGAATAATAATCCTTTTAAAAGTTTGTCTATGCAAAGATGAAGACGGTATCTATTTTTTTCTATCTAAAAATAGATCAGATGTATTCAGCAGCAACAAGGAAGGAAATTTAAAGAATTGATAGACAGAAAAACGACTATATCTTCCTTATTGTTAATCCAACTAAAGGAGACCATTTTTAACCAATGTTTTAAATTATGTTAACAGTCCTACCCTATAAAGGGGCATTCGCTCAAATTTAAAATACTACACTTTTAGGGCGCTTCACGCCATTGTCTATATCAACTTTTTATTGTGGCTTTATCTGTGAGCATCTTCTCTTTGACCAGTATAAAAACAAACAAAAAAGTTTGCAGATTTCATAATATTTTTTCACGCATTTTCAAAATTTTACAAAAATAAAAAACTTTTACATACAAATTTATAAAATGTTGATTGTTCATAAACCTTCCGTGGGGTCATGTGAGGTTCAACACAAAATTTGGGCCAGATAGGTTCAACCGTTTTGATGTTTATTGGATACAAACAGACAGACAGACAAGCTAAATTTATAGAAAGAAGACAAAAAACCTAAGCATTGCGGGGGGTTCGGGGGAGAGGCCGGCACAAGTATTAAACTTTTAAGTTTTGTTGAGGGAAATTTTTATCAAATTTTCAGAAGATAAAATATGTGTTACCTTCGTTTTAAATGCTGCAATTTCAATCTTGGTACAACAATCTGCTTTTCCCACCACTGGTATAATGTTAACCTTGTACTGTAGTTTCTTCATAAACTCGACATCAAGGGGCTTCAAACCATGACCTTAAACAGTGGAGTCTGATGAAAGAGAATGTTTACTATTTGAAAGTACAGTAAATACACTGATCTTTAAAATTAAGAAGGACAGTCTTTACAATATGACCGCTCAAAGAACTCAGGATTTCACATAATATATCTTCTATGCTCAGAAAAATAGGTTTTATTGGAATATTTGAAGATTTTTTCAATGTTTCCGATCTTTCGGATTTTTATAATAACTTTTGTGTACTGTGCACTATGTACCTATTACAGCAATGAAGTATAAACATGTATTCTAATATCAGTACTGTGGACTATGAACCTGCGGTTGCAATGAAGTACAAACCAGCATGTACTATTGTATCTGTACTGTGTACTACGTTCATGTAGGAGCAATAAAGTATTAACAAGCTTGTAAACGAGTATCTTTTCTGTGTACTCTGTACCTGTAGGATCAGTTAAGTACACGAAAACATGTACTCGTGTATCTTACGTGTACTATGTACCTGCAGGGAGCAACAAAGTACAAGCAAGCATGTACTCTTATAGCTTTACTGTGTACTATGTACCTGTGGGAGCAATAAAGTACAAAGAAGCATGTACTCTTGTATTTTTACTGTGTACTCTGTACCTGTTGGAGCAATAAAGTTCAAAGAACCATGTACTCTTGTATCTTTACTGTGTACTCTGTACCTATGGGAGCAATAAAGTACAAGCAAGCGTGTACTCTTGTATCTGTACTGTGTACTCTGTACCTGTGGGAGCAATAAAGTACAAAGAAGCATGTACTCTTGTATTTTTACTGTGTACTCTGTACCTGTGGGAGCAATAAAGTACAAGCAAGCATGTACTCTTGTATCTGTGAAGACAGATTCTCTATGTACTCTTGTCTCTCCCTCAAGATAATCTTCAAATTGCTCATCTAAATAAATTAATGTCTAAAACATACCTTTCAACAAGTTATTTCATTTTTATGTTACTGTTATTAGTTACAATAATCGGAAGGTTGCAAGCTCTCAACGCAAGCTACAATCGATGAGAATCTTGCTTCTTAAACAACTAACGCTAAATAGGTTCATTACAGTATAATATACTATGTCTAGAAAAATAAAAGTTAGTGGGGTAACATTAAATGCTATATATGTCACCTATATAATTGATGATAGGTTCCCAACAATTCGAATTATCAACAGCAACTCCAAACCCTGGAAAATAAACGACATTTTTACAAAAACTCTCTGCATCGCTAGAAAATTAACTTTAATCAATTTGTGCAAAGGACCAATTTAACTGTTTTTGCGTTGCTAATTAGAAGTTTGTATATTAAGTTTATAAGAACAAAATTATCATTTTAGTTTCTTAATCATGAATTTCACGAATCTTTAAAAATCTTAATTTTCATGCATGAATAGCAAACATTTTTTTTTTAATCTGAAAAAATTAGACTTACAGCGTATCACATTTTTAAAAGATTGGCAACAAGGAATACGACAAAGCAATAATGAAGTAATTATTAAATTATACGGGTCTGTTTGCAGTACAGCACAAGTTACAACTGACTTGAATAAAAATACCTGGTGTGTCGACAACAGTCAGATCCAACTTTATTCCTTTTTCTTCTAAATTTATTCTATGCGCTTCAACCTAATGAAAAATAAAGTTAATAATAATAATAAATAAAATTTTTTTTAGCATACTTTTCAACATTATTTATATTCAGAAATGATAAATTTTAATCTAAAAGCTTGATTTTACCTTCAAGGTTTGCCCTGGTCCATTCTGAAAAAAAACTAAATAAACTGTTTAAATTGATATTTTGTCATATTTCATGAGTTCATGAGTTATGATTGGACATCCAAACAACTTGATAACAACTTGTATACATATATTGTCTAAACCTGCAGTGAAGGGCTGTGACTGGAGTAAATGTTGGTTAGAAACATTGAGTTGATCAGCGTGGACTGAAATAAAAAAGTAATGCTGAAATAAAACCTTAAATAAATGTATTGATAAAAATCGGAGGATTAAGAAAATTATCTTTTTAAGGTACTGAATTTCAAACCCCAATATCTGTAAAACCTGAGGCCTAATCTAAAGAATTTGAGCTGCGGCTTAAATTTAAGCCACAGCTCAAATATGGTTGGTTCCACTTAAAATTGTATTCAATTTTTCATGATTTAAGCCGGCGCTCAATTGAAACCGGTTTTTGGGGGATTTGAGACGCGACTTAAATTCATTAAATTCGAACACAGATATTCTAGACCTTTAACTTTTCAAGCTGTGAATTCTGTTAGATCAAATATTCAAATTTTTAAATATCTAAGGTTTACAATATTAGGTTGCAAAGATATAGGGATTAGAAAATTTTAGTGTGTGTCTTATCTATAGCGTGGCATTTACGGTTTACATTTTCATGCCTAGAAACAACTTTGTCATGATTAAAAATAAACGAAATGAATTTGTTAGAATTAAACACTTATTAAGCTAGAATAACGACAATATCTTCCACATTATTGATCAGATAAAGGACTATATGTTATACTGATGCAATTCAGGAATAAATCAAATGGATCTCTTTAAAATAATGTTTGTTTTTTTGTAAAATCCCTTTCTAAGTAGTATCTGTTAAATCTAAAATATAAATGTATAGTTCATAGGAAACCTAAATATCTTTAATTTATTTAAATCTTACCTTTCCTAATCCGCTCTCCCCCACAACCATCAGAGTAAATTCAAATCCTTTCTTAACTGCTTTCCTGTAAACCTAAATTTATATTTAAGTACAGGGTGTTTCACCAAACATCATAATTCAATCTTTTATATTTCAAATAATTTGCAGCATATCTTTATCAATCGACTTTTTTAAAGCAATTTCCTCTAATCCTGGCATTTAACACATTTCAGGGCTTCCAAAATTACTGGAACTTCAATCACGTTTTAATTAATTTTTAAAAATCGTTAAAATCTGAAGAAAAAATTCTCCATATCTCTAGTATTCTGGAAAGCACAAAAAAGGCACACCACGTTATCAAGACTAGAGCTAATTTATCATAATTATTTCAAGAAATTTTCTTCAAAGATTGACAAATATATGACGCCTAACATTTCAAAGATCAAAGTTCAGCGACGATCTTAAAATTGTCTATGAACTGTCATGTTTTTTATACGTCTTATATAGAATTATAGATTTTGTTATATTGTCGTATGTGGTGTTAAAATAAAAAATTTAGATTAAAATACAAAACATAGAATTCTAGATTTACCCTATACCTAGAGTGAGTGAGTAGATATATGATAGTAAAACATCTTTGAAAAATAGGCTTTTGTACACAAAACTATTTCTGTTCATTGTCCAATTTCAAATCAAAATATGAGTCTAAAAGTCGTCTTCCTATACCACAGTATTATGGCTCCAACTGTAAGAAATAATCAAAAGAAAGGGTTTGCTAGTTGTGACTGACTTTCTAAATTAAACAGCTAGAGAGGAAGGTGAACCATCTAAGCGATAAACTAATAGATAAAAAAATACATATGTTTTGATTTCAATGTATTTTAATAGAGAATAAACATACTATTAGGATTATTTAAATTTGAATGTGGGAACGGGCTTCTCTTCTGTGAATATCCTGGATGGACGGATTGTTTTCAGTTCATCTAAATAAAATTTTTAAAACTTATTAAAAAATGTTAAGCCACGAAAAAATATTTAGGAGACAAGCTAATATATGCTTTATACACTTCTTTAAGAGTCAGAAATATACGCAATAAAAGAGGAAGCATGAAGATTCAAATCAACAGCAGAGTTGAAATCAGCCCAGGTTTGATGGCAACTCAGGCAGCTGCAAGGCAGCAAGGAAAAAGGGTGGCGATTGAATGTATTCATGCTTTTCTTATAGTGAATGTATTCATGATTTTCTTATAGTGAATGTATTCATGATTTTCTTATAGTGAATGTATTCATGATTTTCTAATAGAATGTATTCATGATTTTCTAATGGAATGTATTCATGATTTTCTTATTATGAATGTATTCATGATTTTCTTATAGTGAATGTATTCTTGATTTTCTTATAGTGAATGTATTCATGCTTTTCTTACAGTGAATGTATTCATGATTTTCTTATAGTGAATGCATTTATGCTGTTCTTATAGTGAAAGTATTCATGATTTTCTTATAGTTAAGTACTCATGATTTTCTTTTAGTGAATGTATTCATGATTTTCTTATAGTGAATGTATTCATTTTTTTCTTATAGTGAATTTAATCATGATTTTCTTATATTGAATGTATTTATGATTTGCTTATAGTGAATGTATTTAATGTATTATTATAATTTTTTTATAGTGAATGTATTCATGATTTTCTTAAAGTGAATGTATTCAAGATTTTCTTATAGTGAATGTATTCAAGATTTTCTTATAGCTAATGTTTTCATGATTTTCTTATAGTGAATGTATTCATGATTTCTTATATAATGTATTCATGCTTTATTTAAAGTGAATGTATTTATGAAATTTTAAAATTTTTATATGCTTTTATATGATCACAAAGGAAATAAAATATTTCACTGCAAACATTTATTATTTATGAGTAGATTTATCGTTTAAAGGTTGTCACTGTAGAGACAACTGTACAAAACATATTTAATCTTTTTTTCATTATGTTTTCCCACTGCTTTTTGTTTTTTTTTCTGATGAAATCTTTATATAAAATGTTAAAAGATAGAGAAGAAAATTTAGTCTTAAAACCGTTGAAAGAGATCAAAGTCTCATCTTTTACATTTTACATTTAATTGGCGAAAAGAGGTCCTAAAATGCTTGTTAAAGAGAATGTAGATGTAATAATTTAAAATTAGTACCCATTTCTAAACGCCCTTGACATAAATTGTCACATCAAACTAAAGTATCTTCACATTTCGTGATCTGTCCCATTAAATATATTTGTCAAGACTGGGAAGTTTGCTAGAACTACACTCTGCAGTTTTCCAATTAAAGTAAACCGCGGTTGACAGGTCATGTCAGGGCCAGGGATTAGTTAAAGAGTTCTAGAAGGAATAAAGTATTCTTAGAACCAAGTTAAACTTTTACTCAAACATTAACTTTAATTCAAACTTATAGAAACTGGAAACTAGAGGGGCATTTTTTAAGCTACCTTCCAATGCCATTTAGTGGAATATGTGATTAAACATGGTACTTCTCACGCAAGAATTTAAAAAAAAAAAAAAAAAAAATTTCTCTAAAGATATTTTATATTACAGAATTTAAAACTTTGAGCAAACTACATAAACGACCATATCTTCATCATTGTTACGCAGATAAAGATTCAGATGCTAAGGAAACGACCAAGGCCCAGAAATAAATAACCATTGGTTGAAAAAAGTCCTAAAACTTGACTCTTTATTTTGTACCTGGTTGCCTTGCATTGAGGGATTCAATGCCGGATTCAGAACTGCTCAGTATATCATCATCTTCAAGAATAACTTCTTTCTAAATCAAAATATTAATTATGAGTTTAAATCCAAAATAATTCGTTAGTTTGAGTTTTAAAAAATTTTAAAATGAAAAATTTAACTTCAGAATTGAATAAATAGATCAATAAACTTTGAAAACAACACCTTTGTGATGTCTTGGGCAGCTTGGGAAGATTCAGGAGACTCATAGAGTTCAATAGTATCAGCAGAATCATCACTGATCTTAGACATACTTCCATCTAATATATTGTTATATATATGAACTAATAGAGCTCAATAGTATCAGCAGAATAATCACTGATCTTAGACATACTTCCATCTAATACAGTGTTCTATATATGAACTTGTAGAAATCAATAGTATCAGAGGAATCATCACTGATATTAGACATACTTTCATCTAATATATTGTTATATATATGGACTTATAGAGCTCAATAGTATTAGCAGAATCATCACTGAACTTTGACATACTTCCATCTGATGTATTGTTATATATATAAACTCATAGAGTTCAATAGTATCAGCAGAATCATCACTGATCTTAGACATACTTCCATCTAATATAGTGTTATATATATGAACTAATAGAGCTCAATAGTATCAGCAGAATCATCACTGATCTTAGAAATACTTCCATCTAATATAGTGTTATATATATGAACTAATAGAGCTCAATAGTATCAGAAGAATCATCACTGATCTTAGACTTACTTTCATCTAATATATTGTTATATATATGGACTTATAGAGCTCAATAGTATCAGCAGAATCGTCACTGAACTTTGACATACTTCCATCTAATATATTGTTATATATAAACTCATAGAGATCAATAGCATTGGCAGAATCATCACTGATCTTTGACATACTTCCATCTAATATATTGTTATATATATATAAACTCATAGAGACCAATAGTATCAGCAGAATCATCACTGATCTTAGACATACTTCCATCTAATATATTGTTATATATATAAACTCATAGAGATCAATAGTATCAGCAGAATCATCACTGATCTTTGACATACTTCCATTATTCCATCTAACATATTGATACAGAAGTATCTAATATATATGAACTTAAAAAAAATGTCTGTTTAAAGTTTTAAAAACGAAACGTTAAAAAAGATTCATATTTTTTTGTGTTTTGTTTTTTTGTTCTAAAGTTTGCCCAAAAAAGTTTAGATTTTTTCAAAACAAAAAATTTAAAAATAAATCATTTGTTTAACTATTGTTTGAAAGTGGGATATATATATGATTTATGCAATGTTGATGTTTTGAGAAATCGTATTACAAAAATGAAATTGTTAATATCGTAATAAAATATTAGATTATAAAAAATGTATAATTTGCATAACCTGGAGAATGCATGTGAGCACTTGAACTGCTACTTCCACTGTAGGATCTTTGACGGCTCTTAACTGAGACAAAAATAGTTAGTTCAGCTAAGCACATCTTTCTCCAGACTCATTTGAATAGTTGAATCGAACTCAGTTTTGAAAGTAGCTTGCAATGTTTGGATCATTTGATCAATGGTTTAATCTAAGAAAAGAGGTGGGGAAAAATGTTTAATTTTTTTTTACAAATTGTACTCCAGGTGTACAAAATAAAAAAGACCCTTTTTTTTTTTTGAGATAAATCTAGCCTGACAAGATTAATCAGTATCCTTATATCAGGTTTCTGTCTTGAATCCTGAATCCTGAATCCTGAATCCTGAATCCTGAATCCTGAATCCTGAATCCTGAATCCTAAATCCTAAATCCTAAATCCTAAATCCTAAATCCTAAATCCTGAATCCTAAATCCTAAATCCTGAATCCTAAATCCTGAATCCTAAATCCTGAATCCTGAATCCTGAATCTGAATCTTGAATCCTAAATCCTGAATCCTAAATCCTAAATCCTAAATCCTACCCCCCTATGATTTTGCCCTTAGAGTTGAGATAGGGGAGTGCGATACATGCCCCTAGTTCAACTTTTAAGTACTGTTCATAAAAAAAACTAACCTCTGATTTGAATGGTTAGGTTGTAAGAGAGGATTTATAAAAAGTTCAAAAAAATTTTCAAATGTATAAGTCTTAGCCATATACATTAATTAATTAAAAAGTTATTTCTGATTTTTTTTGAAACACCGATCCACCATTTGACCGTCCTCCAACCTACCCTGTGCATCCTAAGAAAAATATTATTTTGCAAAATTTGTTCACAACTATTAAATTGAAAAAAGTGAAGAAGTTTTAGCGTTCTAATGTAAGTAAGCCGTTTTTAAGTTATTCAGAAGAAACCACAGGGGGGGGGGGTAAAGAACATGCATACCCAGTTCACAACAGCACCCTTAGCCAGATTTATAATTTGGAAAACATCGTCGTACTTCAAGATTAAAGAGTGTTAAGTTTTGACAGTGTTCTCCATTTTTTAAAGCAGAAATGCGCAATTTCATTTAAAGAAAAACCAAAATGGAAAAATTTAATGCTAAACAAAATAAGTAATTTTATTGATTCTGGATTCTGGATCAGACAAAGGTTGCAGATGGTCTGATTCTGGTCTGGTCTGGTCTGATTCTGGATTCTGGATTCTGGATCAGACAAATGGTCGTTTTAAATCAATAGATGGAGGTTCAATTACGCCAACTACAACATTCTTATGTTCTCTTGAATTTTAAATGTAAAGTTTAAAAATGAAAATAATATTTAAAAAGTACCTTTATATTTCATCATGGTTTCAACTGAGAGTTGGTGTGAAGAGGCTGAGTTTTCTGATCTGAACAAAATATGTATTGTATAAATTATCTAAATAATGTTCAATCAATGGGCAGATGGTAACATCCTTAATCCTTAATCCTAAATTCTAAATCCCTAATCCTAAATCCTGTAGATCCTGAATCCTGAATCCTGAATTCAAAATCCTGAACCCTAAATCCTTAATCCTGAATCTGAATCCTAAATCCTCAATCCTAAATCTTTAATCCTAAATCCTGAATCCCGTAGATTCTTAATCCTGATTCTGAATCTTGAATCCTAAATCCTGAATTCTAATCCTGAATCCTGAATCCTGAATCTAGAATCGTGAATCCTAAATCCTGAATCCTAAATACTGAATCCTGAATCCTGAACCCTAAATCCTAAATCCTGAATCCTGAATCCTGAATCCTGAATCCTGAGTCCTGAATCCTGAGATCCTAAATCCTGAATCCTGAATCCTGAATCCTGAATCCTGAATTCTGAATCCTGAATCCTGAGTCCTGAATCCTAAATACTGAATCCTAAATCCTGAACCCTAAATCATAAATCCTGAATCCTGAATCCTGAATCCTGAATCCTGAATCCTGAATCCTGAATCCTGAGTCCTAATTCCTGAATCCTGAATCTTGAATTCTGAATCCTGAATCCTGAATTCCTGAATCCTGAATCCTGAATCCTGAATCCTGAATCCTAAATCCTAAATCCTGAATCCGAAATCCTAAATCCTGAATCCTAAATCCTAAATCCTGAATCCTAAATCCTAAATCCTGAATCCTAAATCCTAAATTCTAAATCCTAAATCCTGAATACTAAATCCTAAATCCTGATTCCTAAAACCTAAATTCTGAATTCTAAAGCCTGAATCCTAAATCCTGAATCCTAAATCCTGTATCCTAAAACCTGAATCCTAAATCTTGAATTCTAAATCCTGATTCCTGAATCCTGATTCTGAATCTTGAATCCTAAATCCTGAATTCTAATCCTGAATCCTGAAACTTAAATCCTGAACCCTGAATCCTGAATCCTGAATCCTAAATTCTAAATCCTAAATCTTAAATCCTAAATCCTAAATCCTGAATCCTAAATCCTAAATCCTGAATGCTAAATCCTAAATCCTGAATCCTGAATTCTAATCCTGAATCCTGAATCCTGAATCTAGAATCGTGAATCCTAAATCGTGAATCCTAAATACTGAATCCTGAATCCTGAACCCTAAATCCTAAATCCTAAATCCTAAATCCTGAATCCTGAATCCTGAAACTTGAATCCTGAATCCTGAATCCTGAGTCCTGAATCCTGAGTCCTGAATCCTAAATACTGAATCCTAAATCCTGAACCCTAAATCATAAATCCTGAATCCTGAATCCTGAATCCTGAATCCTAAATCCTGAATCCTGAGTCCTAATTCCTGAATTCTGAATCTTGAATTCTGAATCCTAAATCCTGAGTCCTGAATCCTGAATCCTGAATCCTGAATCCTAAATCCTGAATCCTAAATCCGAAATCCTAAATTCTGAATCCTAAACCAAAGTCCTAAATCCTAAATCCGGAATCCGGAATCCTAAATCCTGAATCCTGAGTCCTAAATCCTAAATCCTGAATCCTAATTCCTAAATCCTGAATCCTGAATCCTGAATCCTGAATCCTGAGTCCTAATTCCTGAATCCTGAATCTTGAATTCTGAATCCTAAATCCTGAGTCCTGAATCCTGAATCCTGAATCCTGAATCCTAAATCCTGAATCCGAAATCCTGAGTTCTGAATCCTAAATCCTGAATCCTAAATCCTAAATCCTAAATCCTGAATCCTAAATCCTTAATCCTGAATCCTAAATCCTGAATCCTGAGTCCCAATTCCTGAATCCTGAATCCTGAATTCTGAATCCTGAATCCTGAATCCTAAATCCTAAATCCTGAATCCTAAATCCTGAATCCTGAATCCTGAATCCTAAATCCTAAATCCTGAACCCTGAATCCTAAATCATGAATCCTAAATCCTGAATCCTGAATTCTGAATCCTTAATCCTAAATCCTAAATCCTAAATCCTGAGTACTAAATCTTTAATCCTAAATCCTTAATCCTAAATCTTGAATTCTAAATCCTAATTCCTGAATCCTGATTCTGAACCTTGAATCCTAAATCCTGAATTCTAATCCTAAATCCTGAATCTTAAATCCTGAACCCTGAATCCTGAATCCTGAATTCCTGAATCCTGAATCCTGAATTCTAAATCCTAAATCCTAAATCCTGAATCCTAAATCCTAAATCCTGAATCCTAAATCCTAAATCCTGAATCCTAAATCCTAAATTCTGAATCCTAAATCCTGAATACTAAATCTAAATCCTGATTCCTAAAACCTAAATCCTGAATCCTAAATCCTGTATCCTAAAACCTGAATCCTAAATCTTGAATTCTTAATCCTGATTCCTGAATCCTGATTCTGAATCTTGAATCCTAAATCCTGAATTCTTAACCTGAATCCTGAAACTTAAATCCTGAATCCTGAATCCTGAATCCTGAATCCTGAATCCTAAATTCTAAATCCTAAATCCTGAATCCTAAATCCTAAATCCTCCTAAATCCTGAATCCTAAATCCTGAATCCTAAATCCTGTATCCTAAAACCTGAATCCTAAATCCTAAATCCTGAATCCTAAATCCTTAATCTTTAATCCTAAATCCTTAATCCTAAATCTTTAATCCTAAATCCTAAATCCTGAATCCTAAATCCTAAATCCTGAATCCTGAACCCTGAATCCTAAATCCTAAATTCTGAATCCTAAATCCTGAATCCTAAATCCTAAATCCTGATTCCTAAATCCTGAATCCTAAATCCTGAATCCTAAATCCTGTATCCTAAAACCTGAATCCTAAATCCTAAATCCTGAATCCTAAATCCTTAATCTTTAATCCTAAATCCTTAATCCTAAATCTTTAATCCTAAATCCTAAATCCTGAATCTTGAATCCTAAATCCTGAATCCTGAATCCTGAATCCCGTAGATCCTGAATCCTGAATCCTGAATACTGAGTCCTAAATCCTGAATCCTAAATTCATAAATTCGTATTCTTTAGGCGACCCTCCATGCAAGTTTATCAAATATTGATAAATGAAATTGAACAGTTAAAAATAAACAAACATAGACATCTATTACATAATAATACGTGAGCAGACAAAGCTTTTAAGGGTATTGTTGTAAATTCGAAAGTTTTTACATAGACGCTTACTTGAAATTAAGCTTACAGTCTTTTTCAGACTTTTTTGTTTCTAAATAAATTATAATCTTAGATAAAATATTAACAACTAGAAATTCAAGGCGCTTCGCGCCCTTCTTTCTAGCCTTAGAGGGCGCTTCGCGCCCATCTTCTAAATTAGTTGTGAACATGTTCTCTTTGTGTACATCGTAAAACAAAACAAAAATAATTCGCGGATTTTTACAAAAAATTTCGCGGATTTTCAAAATTTTTAAAAATTTAATGACGATCGAATTTTGATAGAGACAAATATTTGAAATTTTGATTTTTCATAAACCTTCCCTGTGGTCACGTGATGTCCCACACAAAATTTGGGCCCGATCGGTTCAGCCGTTTTGACGTTTATTGGATACAAACAAACAGACAGACAGACAGACAAGCCAAATTTATATATAGATGAAAAGAAGAGGATTTCGAACTGAATCATATTTATGAATAAGAACAACTAACAAACAAACAAACAAACAAACAAACACAAGATAAATATATTATTTCCCATTTCTTTTATTGGTTATTGAATAGTAATAACATTTATTGAAATAATTTTTAAGGTAAAATTAGAAAATATTTTACCCCTGTTCTTTTAATCCGTATACATTGAAGCCTTATATTATTAATAAGGATTAATTAGCCTTTAATAAATTATTTACTCAATCAATCAATCAAAATTAGTTTGAAATATTGAATTATGACATTTTGTGCTTTTATACATTTTCACTTGCAATGGAACCCATTTAATTGTATCAATAACCCATTTTCGGCAAAAATACCAAACGCAATAACCCATTTTTGGCAAAAATATCGACCACAAATAACACATTTGTTAGTCCCGGGTCGAATTCAGACTATTCTTTCAATATTTTATTGTCTTATGCTTTAATTAATATTTCTTAAATAAATATATATTCAAAAAGTTGTAAAACAATTTAAGCATGAATATGATGGATTGGGTGTCAATTCCTCCCCCCCCCTCCCATCATTTTTTGACATACACTAACGGGCCTAAAATTCTGAATAATCTTCAGTAAATAAACCTTTTACATATTAGGATTTTTACATTATTATATTACATATTAGGATTTGCGTCAAAATTACCAATTGTATTAGTAACAGTTTTATAATTTTTGTTGTTTGTTTGTTGTCTGGTTGAACAATGGTTTAGTTTATTTCAATTAATGGTCTATAATTAGTGTTAGGGGTAATTACTCAATACACAACAACAAACTAACCAATACCCCCCTCCTTCCTTGCACCCACCCCCCTTTCCGTGCCTACCCCCACCCCTTTGCAATACAAGACTAAACCACAACGTATACTTTTTTACACTGTATGTATGTCTGTTTTGGTATTGTGTTTGTGTCCAAGTTTAACGCTTGATTGCATCTATCTCAAATTTAGGTTAGAAAATGATTAGATACAATTTAAGGACCTGTAATCGAAATTTGAAGATATACGCCATTGTTAGAGAAGGATACTTTTAAAACCTTTAAATAAAAATAATAAAATAAAAGCTTTAAATATTTATTAATAATAATCTTAACTAAAATCAGCTTTATTTCTTTAATTAAAGAATAAGTTGAAACATGAAAAAACTATTTTATCAAATTTCAATCTAATCATTTTGCCAGCATATATACTATAGGGTGAGTAAAAAAAAATGAGATTTGCGGCGCCTGGTCGCAAAATTGTAAAAAGAAAATTCGCAATTTTCAGTTCTGGTCTAACTTTTATGCATAAGTTATTTAAATTCTCTAGTTCCTTTCTTCTTAGTATATTTTAAAGTTATAAATAATACGCTGTTTAGTTCTTTTTCCTTTAAGATTAGGCTTAGAACTGAAAATTGCAAATTTTCTTATTACAATTTTGCGAATTATCTGTGATTCTGTAATTTAATCTTTATAGAATTTTAGATTTTGCTTGAAATAATTTATATACAAATTTCTGATTTTGGAAGAAAAAAGATTCGCGGATTTATTTTGGGCCATTGGATACCAAAAAAATTAAAAATTTTCAAAAAATATTGATAAAATACCGTACGGGAGAGTTGCACAAAGATACAATTTTGCACCAGGCGCCGCTGATCACACTTTTTTTGACTCACCTATACCATGGGAGAACCAGGAGATAAACCAAACCTAGTCTCTATGTATCGGTATACCCGGAGAAGCAGAGGGAGATAAATCTATCCCCCTCGTACACCCCTGAACGTTGATTATATTGGCTTTTTTCTAGTGTGAAACACGTTTGAGTCTGATAATTCCAATATGTTTTCCTGAAGTAGAAATGCGTATGTCACTCCAGCAGAGAAACCGCCATCGAAAATAATCAGTTTTTAAAATTGTAAACATTGATATCTAATGGATACTTGATGAGATAACGCCTGTAAGGGCAGTGTTGTCTACGTATGAAGAGTAACCTGAAATTACACATACAGTCCTATTATAAACTCTTTAAACCCCACCCGAACATGTTTTTAACATCAGAATCCTAGCTTAAAATCATGCAAACAAAATCTTGAATGGGATTATATTTGAGTTCAAACTACTCTGCTTTAACATTATTAGAATTAAAAATTAGACTATATTATATTACATTGGTCTTTATCTTTATGTTGCCAAGGCAATAATTAACAAGAAAGATTTAAAGTTTAAAAGTAGAAATGATTTACGACCGAGACGAGATGTCAATAAAAACCTCTGACCCTCTGTGCACACCTTGTATCTTGCTTCTAATCTATTTTCTAGTTTCGCTTCATGAATTTTACGATTTAAAAATTAATTAATTATTACTACGTCAACCTTGAAGAAATGACTGATTACGCTAAATGTTTAAACTTTAATGTCACTCAGGGACTTGTATATTAATCTATATATATATATAGATTAATATATATATATATATATATATATATATATATATCGTACATATATATATATATATATATATTTGAACTGTCAAGTCAAGTTGTCATGATACAGTGGTTTGTTTGCATCCAATAAAGTCAAGTTGTCATGATACAGTGGTTTGTTTGCATCCAATAAAGTCAAAACGGTTAAACTGATAAGGCCAAAGGAATTGAGTTTTTGCCACAAACTTAAATTTCCTAATTCCAATATCTTAGCGACCTGATGTTGTACACATTTGATATTTCAAACTTAGATAAGTTAAGCTAACATAATTCATTGTTTGAAATATCAAAGGTTTACGTCATTTGGTTGGGACAATACAAGGACTAGAAAATCAGAGTTTGTTGCAAAGACTCAATTTCTTTCTTAGGATCTCACATGATAATAGGATACGATTTATGGTCAGTCGAAATTAAAATATTTGACTCAAAGTAATCGAATTTTTATCACAAACTCTAATTTTATAATAGCTATATCTCGTCAGCCCGATGTCGTAGACCTTTGACATTTTTAACAATGCATTTTGTTAGATCAATAGTCTTAAAGTTTTAAAGTCATGTTTACCTGAAATTATAAGGTTTGGTGTTTTTCTCTTCTATTTTCCTTGGCTCACTCTGCTTCAATCCTGTCTTGGGTGTACTTGGAGTTCTCTTGGAACCTGGTAGAATGCTCTTGGAGTCGGGTAGAGTGCTCTTGGAGGCAGTTATATTGCTCTTTATGTTGCTTTTTGAACCAGATAAATTGATCTTAGATCCAGTTAGTTTGCTCTTAGAGTCAGATATGTTACTGTTAGATCCAGAAACTATGCTTTTAGAGCCACCTGAATTGCTGTTGGTTCCAGGTTTGCTCAACGTAGAAGTATTTGCTCTGGGTCTAGGATTATGAGCTGTAGGTTGAGGTGTACCCAGAGAATGGATTGTATTCTGAGAACCTGATTTACCTCTAAGGCTTATTCTGCTCTGCATACTGACTTTTCTGTCACTGCTCTCTCTGCTCTGAGAGACAGCTCTGCTCTGCTGAGGAGCAGCTCTGCTCTGCTGAGGAGCAGCTCTGTTCTGCTGAGACACCGCTCTGCTATGAGCACCAACTCTGCTTTGCTGAATTCCTTTATTTTGGGAGTTTATCATGTTTGGAACTATTTTCCCAGTTTGTTCCTTTAATCCCGGCTGGCCTATTATCCTATTGAAAAAAGAATCTATGAAAAATGTATTTTTATTTATCATTTTTGACCGGATGATTAAAGAAATGAATAAAAATTGTCTTTTAAAGGGACTGTAAGCGTAATTTTAGATGACCCTCCATTTCCGATTTAAAACGGTTCCATTAAAACCTTTGAATTATCAAGAATGAATGAGATATCCATGTTTTAAACCATGACAATGTATTACTTTCAATGAAGGCTTCTCTATAAGTCAAGTCAAATGAAACACTTTTTAAGCAAGGGAAAAAAAGAGACGATAATTTCCACATGATTGATGTTGTACATCGTTGTAAGTCGGCATGTAAAGTATTTTTTTCATTGATTTTGAATTTTAGAATGAAACTGATGAATAAAATGTACCTGGCCCGTGAGAATGGGTTATCTTGACCTGTCCTATTCAGAAACAAATCAAATTCATATTTTTAAAAGAAAATTGACAATTTTTAACATTTAAAAAAATAATTAGTTTAAATTTAAGAAACAGAAAAGAAATTAAAAAAGTAAAAATATTTTCACTCGTTAAACTAAAGAATCTCTTTGAAATATGTTGAGGAATTAATATTTCTTTGAAATGATTTATTTTGATTAATTTTTGTCTAAATTAATGTCCCTGGTTTGGTGGCTTTGGCTTCCTTGTGTCATACTGTTGTTCAAACCACCTGGAAACAGAAATAAATTTAAAATTTAAGAAGTCTTATAAAATATATAAAAAATTTAGAATACAGTACAGTAGAGTACAGTACAGTACAGTACAGTACAGTACAGTACAGTACAGTACAGTACAGTACAGTACAGTACAGTACAGTACAGTACAGTACAGTACAGTACAGTACAGTACAGTACAGTACAGTACAGTACAGTACGAACCAGAAAATTCTGGAATAGGAATTCGTCTTTTAGACTTTAAATAGTTTCATAAACACGAGACTCATCAAATGTGCAGTTTAAAGAGACCCATTTTACTAGTAAAGCTATTTGCTTTGTAACAACATCAAATGCACTTCTTTAATGTCGACTTCCTATTCTTTAGTTTTCTGGTTAGCACTGAAGAAAAACATTAAAAAGTCGTAGATTTATAAGATATAAAAATTAAGCAATTACATTTCTATCTCTTCCAAAATATAAGAAATGACGTTTGAACCTTTATTTTTTTCAAAAAAATATTTAATTTTTAAAAATTCTTCTGTTGACATCTCTCTAGCATCATCCATATTGTCTAACAACAATTAACATCAAATCTTTGAATTGATTTTTTCGAAAATTCTAAACTTAATCTACATACCGCCACCACCCTCAACTCCTAATATTTTAATTTCTTTTTAAACGTCACATTTCCACAATTTTCACAATGACAATTCTCATTGTACACTTTTTCTTTTTAACTTATGCTGGATCATAATGCATCTTTTGTGCATGAAATACCATGGTTATAAGAATGAAGGCTGAACCATGAATATAAGAATGAAGGCTGAACCATGAATATAAAATGAAGGCTGAACCATGAATATAAGAATGAAGGCTGAACCATGAATATAAGAATGAAGGCTGAACCATGAATATAAGAATGAAGGCTGAACCATGAATATAAGAATGAATGCTGAACCATGAATATAAGAAGGAAGGCTGAACCATGAATATAAGAATGAAGGCTGAACCATGTATATAAGAAGGAAGGCTGAACGATGAATATAGGAATGAAGGCTGAACCATGCATATAGAATGAAGGCTGAACCATGAATATAAGAAGGAAGGCTGAACCATGTATATAAGAATGAAGGCTGAACCATGTGTATAAGAAGGAAGGCTGAACCATGAATATAAGAATGAAGGCTGAACCATGAATATAAGAAGGAAGGCTGAACCATGTGTTTAAGAAGGAAGGCTGAACCATGAATATAAGAATGAAGGCTGAACCATGCATATAGAATGAAGGCTGAACCATGAATATAAGAATGAATGCTGAACCATGAATATAAGAATGAATGCTGAACCATGTATATAAGAAGGAAGGCTGAACCATGTGTATAAGAAGTAAGGCTGAACCATGAATATAAAATGAAGGCTGAACCATGTATATAAGAAGGAAGGCTGAACCATGTATATAAGAATGAAGGCTGAACCATGATGAAGGCTGAACCATGAATATAAAAATGAAGGCTGAACCATGTATATAAGAAGGAAGGCTGAACCATGTATATAAGAATGAAGGCTGAACCATCCATGTATATAAGAATGAAGGCTGAACCATGAATATAAGAATGAAGGCTGAACCATGAATATAAGAAGGAAGGCTGAACCATGTATATAAGAAGGAAGGCTGAACCATGTATATAAGAAGGAAGGCTGAACCATGAATATAAGAATGAAGGCTGAAATGAATAAGTTTTGTGCGCAGTCGTCTTTGATTTCGTAGATCCCCCTGTATATTACATATTATCACGTTTAGTCACTTAACATTTAAGCTAACTATATGAATTTGCAAATTTTTCCTTGTTTCTTGCAAAAAGATTGCAAATAGGTTTACTGGACTGGTTGCTGGTGGGACTGATATTTAGTTAATAGTTTCACATTAATTTTAGTACTTTGTTGTTCAAAGTTAAACCCTCATTTATGGTTGGACATAGATTTAGAAAGATCTACTACAATTGTAGAGACAGGGTGAGAAGTCTCATCTGATGAAACGTTTGTTTAGAATATCGTTAATATTGAACACACTATCTTCATATTCAATATAGACATTTTCAAGTTTTTAGGATAAATACTCAATTAAAGGTATTCCTACAGATTCCTATAGATTCTTACTGATTCAGAAACCAAATTGTTGGACTTTTTAACTTATTGCTATTTGAACTTTTTTTTTAAATTTTACAATTTGAGCAGTAATAACTTTATTTATTTAAAAAAAACACAAACAAATAAGAAAACACTGAAATTGTGGAATATGACGTTTTGAGATTGTAATTGCTTTTTCAAAATTTTAGATAATTTCGGTAATTTTTTTGCTTACTTAAATTGTATCGAACCTTTAACTTTGCAACCGGAAGGTGCAAACCTTTGATATTTTAAACCAAAATTATTTAATCCTATAGAATTTATAGATTGAAATATCTCAGATATACAATATTGGGTATCAAAGATATAGGGATTAGAAAACAAGAGTTTGAGACTCAGTTTCTTTCATCCAAGGTTTATTGGGGTCAATTATAGAAATAATACGAGATTGCATTTTAAATTAAAATGTTCAACAGTTCAACTAATTAGTCCTCTGTTTCCTTGCTAGAGAAATAAACCTTGAAACATTAAGAAATAGATTAAACAGATCGTAACATTTCACAAAATAAACACAGATTAAACAGATCGTAACATTTCACAAAATAAACACAGATTAAACAGATCGTAACATTTCACAAAATAAACACAGAACAAACCCGGTGTTGCATGTATTTCAAATGAATTCAAATCCGTTATTTTTTTAGTCAAAAATAATTGAATCGTCATATTTGGCCTAGATTGAAAATATTAAACAAAAGGTTGATTTAGGTGTTTTGGTAAAATCCACGGGTCCTGGGTCCTGGGAGATTATATAAAAAAAAAATCATGGGCTTTCGAAGTTTCGACGAAAAAGTTCATAAAAGCCTTTTTAAACTTCGCATCCGGGTTATACATGGCCATTTTTAGAAAGTGATAAAACTTATATTGGGGAAAAAATATGATATTCGTCATGAAAAATATTTAAAAACATTTGTCATAACATTTTACTCCCGACCCTGCTATTTTTACTCCAAACCCTCCAGATCTGCCATCCTCCCCTCACTGTTATAACTTCATTAAAACATTCAAAAATTAAATTGTTATCTGAGTGATATCCAAAAAAATGTACCACAAGTAAGAACAAGAATATAATGGAACTTTCCTTTTTCTCTTAATTATAAAATTTGGTAATTTGAAACTGAATTATTTTAATAAAAAGTGCCTGATTAAATTTTTCAGAAATATATCCGTAGCAACAATTGCAGATTACACATTCCTCAGTTTAAAATTCGGTGTTGGTAATGGACCAAACTTCTGTAGAGTAAAAAAGTAGATGTTAGTTCCACATTTATTGAAAATGTCGACCCTCGTCAGTTCTTGAGATTGTTTCTGTCACAAAGGTTAAAACTAACTCAATGGCATATTTATGATACAAGACGAACTCTACAGTTCTCTGGTTCTTAATGTAAATCCACTGGTATTAAAGAAACCAGGAAAATTGTAGAAACTAAAGGAGTCAATCAAATCAATTCATCAAAGGTATAAAATGGATTCATAGTAACAAATAATTAATAGAAAAAGAAAATTTAAAAATTAACTTGAAAGGCCTATAACAGTATTTGAATAATGTAATAATAATAATAAAGTTTAAATTTTCAAAACTCGCAATTCACTAACTATGTGAACGTGCAATTGAAAAAGATTGATTTTCAGCTTTAAAAACAAGTTCTATATATAAAAAATGTTCTTTTAGATTTTCTGTGAATTGTAATTCTCAAATATTATTTTTACTTTAATTCTTTTCACTGCTTAAACATTTCTCACAACCTTTTGTAGATTATTCAGAAAAATAGCTTTATATAAAGACGACATTCAGCAAAAATTAAATTTCAAGGTGGTCGGAAGGGTAAGAAATTCAAAAATTGTCTCCATTTTAAATTTACTTTTTTAAGAAGCCACAATTAATCTATATATAAATTTGGCTTGTCTGTTTGTCTGTTTGTATCCAATAAACGTCAAAACGGCTGAACCGATCAGGCCCAAACTTTTTGTGGGACATCTAGGGACTCCAGGGAAGGTTTATGAATGATTGAAATTTTAAATATTTGTCTCCATCAAAATTCGATCGTCATTAAATTTCTTAAAATTTTGAAAATCCGCGAAATTTTTTGTGAAAATCCGCGAATTATTTTTGTTTTGTTTTACGATGNTCATGATCTCCACAGCCTGCAGCTCATGATCTCCACAGCCTGCAGCTCATGATCTCCACAGCCTGCAGCTCATGATCTCCACAGCCTGCAGCTCATGATCTCCACAGCCTGCAGCTCATGATCTCCACAGCCTGCAGCTCATGATCGCGTATGTTTAGAAAAGGAGAGTGTCATATTAAACCATTATATGTTTAATAAGATAACTTCAGCTGTCAACTTTTAAAAGTGTTTAATTCTGACGATTCCCTTCCCTGCTTTTTAAGCAGAAAAGCGCAAGTTACTTTATAGAGAAACCACTAACATAGCTTTTAAGGATACAGTTGTTAATCAGACGTGCTATCTTTTGTTTTTTGTTATATGAGAGTTACTTGAGATAACAGTGTAAAAGAGCTGGATTTATAGTATTAATCGATGATTAAATTACAAGGTAAAGAATTTAATAATGTATATTTAATAATACAATATTAAAGAATTCATAAAATTGTTAATTTTGAACATTTGTGGGAAAAAAAGGTTTTAAAGTAAAAAAAAGTAGTTTGCAATCAAAACCAACTTTTTTTTGCGATAGCAATAATCGGAATTGGTAAATTTAAACCTTCTCTCACACTCTAATTTTCTTATCTTATATCTTTGCAACGTAATCCCATAGACTTTTGATATTATAAAGTATGAATTCAGACCACCCCCACCCTCTACCCCAAAAAAAATTAAATAAACAGACACAAAGACAGAAAAAACTTAAAAGTATAAATATTTCACTATAGGTTCCGAAGTTGCTAGCTAACTGAAGTGGAGTTTGGTCCAAATATGAAAAATATTTCTAGAATGATATATCCTTAATATCCTTGTACCATGAAAACTGTGGGTTCCACTTTAATACTTTAATTGCTACTCGTCATTTTCATTTATTAAATTAAGAGTGTTCAACGTGTTAAAATGTGGTTTTTTTTGTTTGCATCCCCCCCCTTCCCCCCATATCATAGTTTTATACATTTTA